ATGACAGCTTCCATCATCATTGCCAGCAAGATTCTGGGATAGAATCCTTACAGGCCAACTACTGAGAGGATCTGGAAGATAAATAAGGCAGAAACCATCTGAATGCAGTTTTGGAACTGGTGGGTACACCAGTGGGCTTTTGCAGGTGTGTTATTTCCTAGTAATCTCCACACGTTTTCCTTGAAGACTTCCTTTGTAGTTGATACAATCCCAAGCTGCCTGTCTCTTGGGGAGAGGAAGCCATTAGGTAATGCAGCTGTTCCACTATAGCCAGTTAAAGCCAATCCTGATCAGATTTCTATAAAGCATGACAGCTTTCCTTTTCTGACATAATTACATATGCAAACACATCTGCAGAGACAAATGTTTTCTAGAACCATCATTTGAGCAATAGAGAAATATTGATTCTAGTTTGAATGGTGGATATCAGGTATTCCCGTGGATAATGGATAATGCACTTCACTATTTGTATCCAAGCTACTGAATCAATGAAAATGCTATCTTCTGTAATGATTCCTGTATAATGGTTGAATGTTATTATCTGCATGTAATCCAGGGATGGCATTTATCCAGGTAGATGAGATAGCATCATTTAAGTGCTTTCTGGGACACAGCTGAGAAACTTAAAAACATGTTTAACACACACATTAAACAATCTGTAAATTACAGCTACTTAAGCCAACTGTTGATAAAGGTTTTGTGATTTAATTACTTAAGTTTCTATACCATCTGTTTGATATTGTTGATTAATTTGAAAGTTGGGTATGTTCTAATGTGAACACTTAGGAATCAGGACTGTTCCCAAACTCTGTTTTGGTACTGACTTTCTGGGTTTTATTTTCTTCTCACTTATACTACAGAATAGATGATGAGCTCTTAGAACTAGACTCTGAATTCAGAAACATGCTAATAGGCAAAAGACAAATTCAAGACTTACAGATGGCATTTAGTATACAGGGATCTAGTAAGCAGGCAGGCATAGGGCAGACTATAGTCTCACTACCAAGATTGAAGAGGTAGCATAGTGCAGTGTCAGTACAAAATCAGAAATTCATTTTCATGGGCTCAAATCTCACCTTCAACACATATGAAAACCAGGCAAATGGAAAAGCTTTTCTAGGAAGAACAGAATAGATTGGACAACCACCCCAGCCCAACGATGACAACAAATATCTGGGTGAATGGAAACTCTAAGCTGGACTGTGTTAGCCAATGGACATTGAAAGTGTTCCCTCATCCTTGGATCAGCAAGATCGACATTTCAGAACTATCGAAACCACCTGGGTAGAACCCTCAAGAGTGTAGACCACATCAGGACCGTGGGTTGATATTGGGGGGCTGTTCCCCATCCCCAAGTACTAGGGTGGTTGGTAGGCTGGGTGTGGCTTCTCCCCTTGTTTCCCCCTCTCTCCTAGAAACAGAAAAAAAATGGAAAACTTGCAAACAATGACCCACTTTTCCCTGGCCCTCAATCCTTCCTACACTGATCAACTAGGAAAGCCCCATTTGAACAAACTTAAAGAAAAAAAGCGCTTCCTCACTTCAGTTTCCTTATCATAAAACAAGGATACTTTCCTTATGGCAATAACTTGAAATGAGCGTGAAATAAGCTACTAACAGATAAGTACATCTCATTTGATAAACATATGTTTACTACTACCACTACATCATTTTATTTACATTGCTGGAATGAAACTCATTGATTGAGATGTCTGACCTTCATGAATGGAGTATGCTTATGCAGTAAATTTCATTCAAAGTCATTATGGGAAATAAAAGTTGGGTAATTATTATCACAAATTCTCTTAGTTTAGGATGCATTTGTGCATCATGGAATCACATGTAATAATGGAACCAAATGTGAAAACCTTGGATGTATAGATGAAGAAACAAACAGGCATTAAAATAATTTAATTTTAATGACATGATTTATTAATTTTCAAAGAACATCACTGACAAGCTTTGACTATGAACAAATAGTTGCATAGCCAAATGTGCTTTTTTTTTTTTCCTTTAAAGAGAATTTTTGACATGTACACTCAGTCCGTTAATCTACACTCATTTCTGACAGGTGCTTGCAAGCTGAATGTAACATGGGGATGGGGGGATTGGAGTTTTAGTGACATCCACCTAGATGGTGGAAGCCCTTATGAATGTGAGGTCTCTTAAGGAAATGCCAATGTATTGTGGCACAATATAGTGTGCCAACGTATTGGGTGCCATGTAGGAGACTCCTCTATTTAGTCTCCCAAAGGGTCCTTTGCCCTTTAGGCTGGTGATTCCTAACAGGTAGAGGTCCACGTGTCCTATGTTTGGAAGACTTGAGACCAAAGAGGCTTCAGGAAGTGGTAAGATAATTTCACTCAACAACATGGCTATTTAAGAAGATGGGAAATGGAAGGTAGTGGAGTGCCATGGGGTATGTAGAGCAAGCAAGCAAATGACATTGGTGAGCCTTCAAGCTTTCCTTTTTTGAAAGATTTATTTCAGTGAAAGATGGAATGCGAGAGAGAAATGAACAGCAAGAATGAGAGAGACCTTCCACCTGCTATTCACTCCCCAAATGGTCCCAACAGCTAGAGCTGGGTAGTCCAAAGCCAGGCGCTTCTTCCTAGGCTCCCACATGGATGTAGGGGCCACTTTTCATTGCTCTCCCAGGTACATTAGCTGGAAGCTTGATGGAAAGTGGAGCAGCTGGAACTCCAATCAGCACCTGTGATAGCTGGCAACAGCTTTACCTGTTACGCAAGAGTGCTAGCCCTGAGCATTCAGATTCTGAGCCAGGTAAGTATCAATCACTGGCTTCCAGCCTCATGAGTTATTCGGATACCATGCAGAAGACTCATAGCTGCTTAAGAACAGATAGTCCAGTCCTTCTGATACAAGGCTATCATAACTTGTAAAGAGATGAATTTTAATTATGCTACTTAATGTAAAATCTGTGTTTGTAGCCTGGATACTACTGTATATCATGATTAAAATTAGTCAAGGTATGGCAAATTGCACTGAAGGCTGCTTTAGCTTTAAGGTTTAAAGGGACATACTAAAAAAAGAGAGCTGGCTGTTGCAGTTTACAAAAATCAAGGCATATTGTTAAGGCAAAGAGGTTTGAGAGGTGTTCTACGGAAATGTACTTCCATAAACCTCTACAACCTCCCAGAGTAGGCCAGTTTTCTCATTTTTGAAGCAAAAAGACAGAAGCTTGAGAAGTAGTTCACTATTGATTTGGCTGCTGATCATTTCCAGTACCACTGCTACTAGACAAACTTAAAGCTGGAAAAGCTGAGGGCAGGGTTGGGAACAGTGGCTTAGCCATTGCTTGAAAGCCTAATCCCGAAATATTGGTCTGAATCTTGACTCCTTGGCTTTCAGATAGCCTCCTAGTAAAACGGCTTCCTGGGTAGAGCTAGTGTGGGAAGAACTAACTAGTGTGGGTAGAGATGATGTAGGCAGAGGTGGTATGGGCAGTTGATGTCAGCAGAGATGACATGCATCTCTACTCCCCATGAGGGAACTGGTCCAACTCCAGCCACTATAGGGGAGGGGAGATGGACACAGAAGATTTTCTCTCACTCTTTGTTACCGTTTCTCTTATAAAGTTGGAAAGCTTCTGCAACTGCACACAAGTATCTGAAAGGTAACAGTGACTAGAAATACTTGCAAGAAATTTATCACTTTTATTAAGAAACTGATTGCAAAATTCATGATTAAAACTAGATGTCTGATGAATTGTCTCAAAAGTTAAAAAGTGGCTGTTTATCAGAAATGATGCTAGAGACTCATTCTCTCTGGAAAAACATTTAATTTACAGAATCTCCCCGTCCTCAATGCTCTGCTCAAGTAACTCCGGAAGCTGGAAGCCAACACTTGCTACTTGCCCAGTTCAAAATCTGCTCTCACGTGGTTTAGCTGTCCCACATATCCTATGGCACTCCACTTCTGATCCTTTGTTCTTAAATCTTACTGCTGAACGAAAAGCTCAGGGGTTGGAAAAACAAAATTCCCGCTGTCCCTCCCCACCCTGTAATTTGTCAGTTCTCCCCTTTGGAGGACTCTGGAGAGGAGCAAGGAGCAGGCTGAGGAATAACCACTGCTACTCTCAGGCTCCCAGGAGTCCTCTTTCCATCTCGAAAGACAGATCATTCCAGGTGCTTAAGGCATCATTACTACTTTCTTCTTAAGTAGGGTCTTTATTTCCTCTAAATGCAGATCAACTTTTCTTTATTCTTCTATCTCCAATTCCTCTGCAGTTTACCTCACAAGAATAAAATGGAGCGCTTTTGGTAGCTGAAGCTCAGGGGGGATGTCTCAGCATGATACTGAGAACAGACAAACCCAGCCACAGTGGCACTGGCTGCCCCAGGCAGCCTACTTCACAAAGTGAATTCTTTCATACTCAACGAACACCTCCTTGTACTTACTTGCTGAGCAGCCAATCTGGAAGGTGCTAAATCTCTAACACCTTTGTCTCCTACCATTAGGCAATCAAGACAAAGTAAAAAGCTGGGTACCATGTTCTGGTGGTGATTCCAGGTCTGCACCCCACAGTGTCCCTCCAGTCCTACTCTCACTTGCAATCACACCAGGGTCTCCCTCACTTGCATTTTTTTTTAAAGATTTATTTTTATTATTATTTTTTTTATTGGAAAGGCAGATATACAGAGAGGAGAGACAGAGAGGAAGATCTCCCGTCCGATGATTCACTCCCCAAGTGAGCACAACGGCCGATACTATGCCGATCCGAAGCCAGGAGCCTCCTCCGGGTCTCCCACGTGGGTGCAGGGTCCCAAAGCCTTGGGCCATCCTCGACTGCTTTCCCAGGCCACAGGCAGGGAGCTGGAAGGGAAGCGGGGCTGCCGGGATTAGAACCGGCGCCCATATGGGATCCGGGTGTGCAAGGCGAGGACCTTAACCACTGCGCCATCGCGCCGGGCCCCTCACTTGCATTCTTTCCAACCAGTTGAGGAAGAGTGGCGACACGTACCAGGCACTATTATCAGTTTCTCAGGCAGGCATTCATTTATTCATGTAACATAAATCAGACACTGTGCTAAGGACTGGCGACACAGCAACAAACAGGATCCGACCTCTGTTCGCTCCAGTCCCTGGAATGTGTGGTGGGAAGAAGCTGCAGGAGACAGCGCAAGCCGAGAGGGACCCCTTCTCCTCCACCAAGGCTCATGACCAAGCCCTTCATCTGCACATGGTGTTCACACGCAGCCCTGATAAACAAGGACTGTACAGACCATTCTCTATTCAAACACGAAGTGCCACTGGTGAGATCCCATCCCCCTTCTTTTCAGGAGAAAGGTTGGAATTACTCATAATTCTATTTACCTCAAGTCAAAGAGAAACGAAATGACAACTTTGCTCCTTGACTTAAGTTCTCACAAGGTGGTTCTTTTCCATGCGTATCTGTGAACCAACCCGGGTCAGTGCCTGGCTTAGACATATCAGTGAACATATGCACCAGCACAGGCAGTCCTGCTGCTGACCACGGAATGAATCCCTTCTGAACTAATGCTGCTCTCCTGTCTCTTCCTACTCTCTCCATATGCCTCTGGCACCAGAGTGGAGCCAGCCAGAGGTAGGGTAAAAAAGAGAAAATGAGAAAGCTGTTTTCCAAATATAGAGGGAAATGGTCACTCAGCCTTACGTGGAGCTGGAACAGAACACAGCTACATTTCTTCATGTTCACACCTACATAGTCACCCACAGATACTCCTACCGTCAGAGTTGCACATTCTTTAATATCAATGTTTGTAAGAATTTATAACAAAATACATGGTACACAGATATAAATACCCTATAAAAATCTACAGAAACATCCAGATGCCCCAAAGACTAGAGGCAAGCAGGTCTGAGATCACAGGTGTGCTCAGGAAGGGGCAGGAGCAAAGCCAGGCCAGAAGAGCGGGAGGGTGCACCTGCAAAGACTTCAGCTGATTATCAGAAGCCTTTCAAAATATCCTGGGATATTTTTAGGAAAACAGATGAGGTCTGCTAGAAGAAGGAGGGTTGTGGCACAAATCAGTTCAGCTTCTATGGTTTTCCTCTGCTCACACCACTAGCCAATTTCAAATATTGCAATGTTTCCTTTCAGTTAACTGGGCAGGAAGAAGGGAAACAATGTCACAACTTTATGGACAGTGTCTGCATCTTTAGAACTGGATACAAGCTTGTCCAATGCCGAATGGCTATTTAGATTGGATGAAAAGGAAAGTAAATTACTGATTTTAAAAAAATGAAAAATCATCTATAATGTGACAACAGCATTTTAGTAGAGAATATGTCACATTAAACTAACTTCATTCGGATATCACTGTCTTCTCGGTACCTCATCATGCCAGCCAAGCTGTTGTGTGTACACCAAGGGCCACACACCCTGCACCTCTGGACTGGGGTCTGCCCCTTGCTGTCCGACCAGGGGAGTGCCGGATTATCTGTCATCACTCTCTTTGAGAAGCACAAAGGGAAAGGAGAGGTTCACTTACTAGACATTCCTCCCACTGTTGGCATGAGAATGGTATTCGATCAAAATCTGGCCACCAAAAGGAATGTGCATGTTATGCTGAATGGTTGGTTGTTGTTGTGTTTTTTTTTTTAGTACTAACTGGTGCCAGACACATTTTTTTCTATTCAAATCTAACAGGAGAAAAGCAGGTGCTACGGCAGTGTAGGCTCTCTGCCCTCCAGTGTCAGGACCCCTCTTCTGCCCATGCTCATCCCTGTTAAGAATGGCTGGGATTTTCACACTTAGAGGATGTTACAAAGCTCTAAATTCAGAGTCTAAAGCCTCAAGGGCCCAGTTAAACGCAGTCTGTGTGCCTTCACCTGTCTCAACCAAAAAAACAAAAAAACCAATTCGTCCCTTCAACATCAGAAGGGTGACACTGTGCTATGAAAGGTGACAGCCTATTAAGGAACCCCCAAGAACCTGTGCTGGATAGCAGCCAACTACCTCCCAGGGAATTTTTTCTAGTGCGAGGAGATTATGCAGCTTCTGCTGCGCTCAGGAAGGCATTCGCGACACCATCTGCCTGAGGAAGGAACTGCATGTTATTTCAAGGCCAGCAGCTTTGAGCCCAGGAAATGGGTTCCCACAGAAGTCAGCATTCTCGAGGTGAGCCTAAGTGGCGAGTGTTTAACGTCCAGAATGACACAGTGGGCTGTAGGTGAGTCCGGAAGATACCTGCCACGTTTTAGGCATCAAAGAAGCTGAGGCAGCCTCACCACCTTCCTCAAGTGACCTGGCGGGGACACATCCTCACGTTCGGCATGCCTGGGAGCATCTCAGGGAACACAACCTGCACCCAGGCAAAGGCCAGGCCATTTTCTCCAGGCAGAAGCAAGGAAATCTTACTGTTTCCAGGAGAGGATGCTCGTATGTGAGGTTAATAGAAGTCAGTGGCTAAGTGAAGAAAGGGAAAACAGAACAACACTGACTTCCGCACACCATGCCCCACTGACAGCATTCCCCTCTCTAGATTCTCCCTGGAGGGAATCCAAGCCTGTGTCAGGATCAGCAAAAACAGGTGGATTTCTCCTTACAACAAACCCTTCCCCCAGCACCCAACACGAACACATGAAACCTTAGGGGCCAAAAAGAGAATTCACAGCTATAGTTTTGACTTGACCTGCCTGGCACATTGCATCCCCACACAATCTAGCTCTTTAGCTTAACCAATTAGGACTATTGGTTACAAAGTCTTCAAGAGACCCCCTTTCTCATTTGGTCATCCTGTAAGAGCCTGGCTGTGCCCATAGGTGTTGAGCAGGGCCAGCTGCTCTGGGCCACACTCCCCTCACCATCCCAGTCACAAGCTAATGGGCTGCATGGCAAGGCCTAGGGGGTCTCTTGTGCAAGCCACACAGAACCTTCCTTTCTTACCAGCACTGCACTTTGAGTTCCATTGTAGGACTCTTTGAGCACCAAAAGCAAAAGATGGGCAGAGCAGCTGATTTTTGAATGGGAGAAAGAAAGCAAAGTTGGGAAGGTGGGAGGAAGTGGTCCTGTTTGGCTCACAGGGTAAACTACAGCTTTCCCGGAATGTGGGAGGAAGCCCAGTCCCTAAGGGCCCAGTGCGATACGCTCCTTGCTCCCTCAGCTCCCCTTGACCATGGTGCCCATGGTGTGACTTACTGCATGGGGTACTGAGAAGGAAAGGGTGACAGGAGAAAACAACGTCACAGATGGGAATCATCAGAATAGCAACAGAAGATGTAACTGTTCAACACTGTGGATACAAAATTAGTAGCTCTGGGGAGATGGAATTCAAAACTAGTACCCAATATTTTTGGTAAACAGCGTTGTTCTGTGTACAGAACCAGCCTCTTTTCTACTTTACAGTTCAGGATTTCTATTCCAAGTCTCTACAAATGTTGTTTATAGGGCCATGAGAAATTTGAGACATCCCCTTTTGAGGCTCCTCTGGTCCAATAGGGATAATGACGTGACGTGGAGAGTTACCAGGCCCCTCTCTCACTCCGACCCTGGGATATCTATTCCAGGCAGACCTCAGTTCTTCTTGTGGCATTTCTGGGGCTGACCTTCTGGGGTTCCCAGGCTGTTCCACACCTCTGTGTACAGCAAGGTCCCAATGAAGACAAGTGAGGTGCCCAGCCAGTGCCAGCTGGTGAAGGGGTTTTGGAAGTACAAGATGGAAAAGATGAGGCTCACAAACTTGCGCAGAGTCACAACGAGTGTCACCGTGAGGGAGGCACATTCCGTTGTGAGGATGAATACGCCCCGGATGCACACATACCTGGGCGGAAGGAGTTAAGGAAGGGCCTTGCCCCTAGGAGATCAGTGGGGGGAACTGGGAAGTGCTCGGCTTGCCCTGAGGCTCCTCTGCAGTGGACACCCACAGGATTCCTGTCCTGTCATGCCACCCACAGACCCCACCTCAAGCCTGCCAGAAACGTCTTGTTTGAGAGTGTTTCTATGGTTTACAATGAAGGCCACCTTCCAGGTAATGACAGGTGTCACTTAGTAAGGGAGAGCCCAGGTACCTATATTTTATCTTGTCTGCCATCTATCCACCACTCCTTCTAAAAGGGGCTCTAACAGCACCTCTGTGAATTAATGTTAAAGCATATGTAGGGCTCAATGTGTTTCTCTATTTCAAAGACATAACAACTTTTCCAACGCCATTCAAAATGGCCATTCATCAAAAATCTTGATTAGTTTGGAATTTTAGAACTTTGTGGTAGCTGAGAATTATTGTACGGTACTGCAAAATTCCAGTTAGAAACCAAACAATGCCTTTTTATGAATCAACAGGTTGCTCCACACTGCCTGGAAGATTTCCTGTTGCCCATGACCCAGTTATCTGCTGCTGCTCCACTAATATCCCAACCGCAACCTGCAAAAGGGCTCCCTTTCCTGCTTAAAAGTAGATGAAAGCAAGTCATGTTCAAGAGAAAATAACAAAGATTCCTATGCGCAGGTCCTGCAGAGCAGACTCAGGGAAGTGCAAGGATACTGAGTGATGACGTTCATGAGGAGGTAGAACCACATGACGGGCACCGTCACGCCGACCACCGGGATTTCATACGATTCTGCAAAGATTGAGAGAGGATGTGGTTACATCACCTGAACACGGCTGTGCATGTAATGCGACAGCAACCTCCTCCAACGTGCAGAGGTGGACTCAAATCACACTTCACTGCCTTGGTTCCTGTCTGTCTTAGCCACAAGTGTCACTGCTATCTTGGGCACTGTCAGGGAGCTTTGGCACTCTTGTGCTGATGCTTGGAAATGTCTCTGAGCAATTCATTCAGGCCTTACAAACCTCCTTTACATGCTACTTCATCACCTGCCTCATAACTTCGTAACTCATGCTCATGTAGCAAACTACAATCTACTGAGCACCTACTGCCATTCAAAAGATGCAATTACCATTGGACATACATGCTATGTTAAGCTTTGATTCAGTGAAGAAATATATGTATATAAATACTAATGTGTTCTTCGTGTGTAAGTAGATAATGAGTGTTTTCAAGTTAACTGGCATTCTATAGTGACTTTATCGAATAGCCTCTTTAAAAAGAAGAAACCAACTTTGTGACATAGTAGGCTAAGCCTCTGACTGTAAAACCGGCATCCCACACTGGCACAGCTTCATTCCAGATGCTCAATTTCCCACCCAGCTCTGTACTTATGATCCAGGAAGGCAGCAGGGGATGGCCTACTCTGCATCCAAGTGGGAGACATGGAGGGAGAGCTCTGCTTCTCCAGCTTCTCTGAAACCCTTTCAAATAAATAAGTAAATCTTGTTTTTTGTTTTGTTTTGTTTTTAAAATAACACTGTAGTTACCTGAAACAAATCTTGCTTGTTCCTGCTGCCTGCTGCGTCAGTAGCTGGGGTAAAAGCCACGTCAGCACTTTGCTCTCCTCCTGCCTGGTTCCAAAACAGCCCAGGCTGCCCCTGTGAGCAGCTCTGCCTTTCCCAGAGGCAATGGGTGAACTTCCGGGGCAGGAGAGCTGCACTGTTGCCTGACTCTGCAAAGCCCCCAGCTTTGCACTGGGCCATTACTGAGGGCTTTCATTTTCTGAACACCTGATGTCCTATTATGATGCAAACATAAATTCTGAGGCAAAAGCAGAAAACCTGAAGATACCTGCTTGCTTCACTTCAGCAACTGAGAAGCGCCTGTAAAAGCTTCCCCAGCTGTGGATACTGACCAACCGCCCTGTTCTCCCAGCAAGCAGGAGGTTTCAAGAGGGAAGATGGTTTGGATAAGAAAGACGCCATGGTCAAGTCCAATGAAACAGACTCTGCCTCAGAAACCATCAGGCAAATGTAACCTCAAACTCACCAGATTTATTAAACAGAACTGCATGGTCGTAAATATCAGAGGCCAGGAAGATGAAACCAGGAAGCGGAAGGGCGTGCTATGGGAAAGAAAAAGAATTCATGTAAATTTCAATGCGGAAACAGCAAAGAACAATTGGAATAGATTCACAGTGACTTCAAGTTGCATGGGTTGTGCAACAAGCAACATCAAGAGACTTACTAAGCTAAAGGTGTCCGGGATTTCTGCTCCCTTACCATGTATGACATTACTTAGATGCCTGCCCTGTGGAATCTGATGGACACTGCAGGCGCAACACGAACTGCAGCCAGTGTTCATCCCTCACAGACAAGGAATGGAGAAACTGCTTCAAAAGATGTTCCTACATCTCACTATTTTGAGAGAAGTGACGCAAACAAAATAAACTTTAAATTACTAGAGAACGCAGAAGCCAATTGCCCAGAGTTTTAGAAAATACTGAGGATGACCTGCAGTCAGGGACGAAGCAATGAAGATGAGAACAGAGGAGGGGCCATGACAGGAGGGCCTGATGCTCTCATCTCTTCTCCTCTCCCCACTGACAACAGATCATACCGCATAGCCACTAAGCAGGTACTATGTGTTATCTAGTAGTTATTATGCTAAATCAGAGATGTGAACAAAATAAAATGTTTAATGCTGTACAATTCCCCGCAACAGACTCCAGCTCCAATCAAGGCTTTCAAATTGCATGCCCTTAACTTCAGACCAAACATTTGGCAGTGAAGAAACCCAGAGCTGACCCCCAAACCTGACCGACCTTGGGGTGCTATGCTTGGGTACCTCTCAGTAGGAAAGGGAGGCGGGGCCAGGCGGGCAGTTTCCCAGAGAGGCTCCCATGCATACAGCTGATGCATCCCACTGTCACATGAAGGAAGCCCAGCAGGCAGGCTTGCGCCTTTCACCTCACCCCTGAACCATTCCTCAGACGGCTGCCTGTATGGACTCCCCGTGGCACACAGCTTTGGGGAATTGCTTTCTTTCTCTTTCCATGTATCCATGTTGGTCTTGACCTGACTTCAGTCACAAGAATGTTGGGGGTAGGGGCTCCTGGTCCCTTGGGGTTGGCCTTGGTTAAATGACCAGGTTTCACTTGCATCTGTTCTTGTGAGGACCTTATGGTAGAGAACTGGGCTCTGTCCACACACTAGCCTCCTGTCCAACACTGTTTACCAAAACGAAACTGAATTTCAGCCATATCAGACGGACAGCACGTTTTTTGGAGCAACACATTACAACCTTCAAGTGTTTATCTTCCCCACGCTGGAGGAGCTGCTTACGTTATAAAACAAAGCTTCCTTGGAGTGTTTCCCAAATTGTTTGTAGAGAGTCTCTTGGAATATGCCCATCCTTGCTGACATCAACAGAGCAAAAGTCAGTGCCCCGATACCTACAATAAAACCCCAGGTTACAAGAAGACTGCATGTTAAACAACTTTCAGATGTGTTCTTAAAGAATACTTTTTTTAAAGCTCTACACATTTTATAAACAAATGAAGCCAGTTACAGCATTTCTCATCCAGGCCTCTATAATTCTGTGCATCTCTCTTTATATACTCATGTACATATTTTTAACACTGGCTCAGGATCAGACAGTACATGTAATTTATAACTTGCTTTTCTCATCTTTTCCTTAAAGTCATTAAGATTTTGTCAGAAGCATGGCTCAACGATTGCTTCTCACTCTATGATGTGGCTGTAACACACTTCAACGTCTCATCATAGTAGAGTGGTTAGATCTGCAGTTCTTTCATCATTAACATCAATGTATCTTTGAACACAATATTTAAACAAAATGGTGATTATTTCTTTAGAATAAACTTTCTCAGATGGAATTATTGAGTGAAAGATGGAATTATTGGCTGTGAACAGTTTAAAAACTTCATACATGGTCTTTTTCCAGAAAGGCTATATAAGTTAATCCCCTAAACAGTTCATATGAAGTGGATCTCTTACTATACCCTCAGTACCGATGTGACTAGCATTTATCATTTTGCCAATATGATAGGCTAAAAATTAGATGTTTTTATATTTTGGTTTGAATTAGCATTTCTTTCATTAAAAATTAATGGATACTAATTTCCCTGTAACTTATATGTTCATTGACTTTGCAATTCTTTTCTCATAATTCAAAACATTTTCTTAATATCTCATCAAGACCTTTCTATGCCAAGAAACAAGGAGAGGTGCCAGCCCTCTGGAATAGTGGTTTAAGCCACTGCCTGTGGCATGTGAATACTGACTACAACTATCGAGTTCTCTGCTACTGTGCCTGGGAAAACAGCAGAGGACGGCCCTAGTGCTTGGGCCAGTGCACCTGTGTGGGAAAACTGAATAAGTGCCTGGCTTCACACTGGCTCATTTCCGGCCTCTGCCGCCATTGGTGGAGGGAGCCAGCAGAATGAAGATCTCTCTCTTTCCCTGTAACTCTGCCTTTCAGAATTCTGAAATTTTCAGGGGAAAAAAAAAAGAATGAGGAACACAGTTAAAGAACTGTGCTATTGCTTTCTCTCTCTCTCTCATACGGTCACTCTATTTTACTGCTGTCATCAAAACTGCCTGGAAAAAGGGTCATACTCTCATACAAACAATGGGAGAATGAATCTCTACTGGCATTGTCTAATTAATTCCACATAGCTACTTTTCTTTCTCATATTACCCAGGAGATTTTGATGATCAGACCAATTTAGGGAACTTTGCCATATGGAACAGCTAACTTAAGAAAATAAGCCTAAGATTTTGAAATGGGTCACCAGGAAAATTGAGCCAACTGCTCTAATGTTCACTGCTTCTGCAGAAACTTAGCCCACATCATGACAGAACAGGTAACGCTGCAAGCGCTGCTCTCAAAGAGGGAGCTGAGCAAGCAGACACACACTTCCCCCTCCATGCCAGGGGTGAGCATGGACAGACGGACAAGGCTGTGGAACACACTGCCTTGGATACTTGTTCTTTAGTCCTTGGGCACCAAGGTTCAGAGGGACATGACTCCATGTGTCCCTCTTCCATGGATCATCTATGTAGTGGAAGCTCCTGGCCCAGAGATATGTCCCTCAGGAGAAAACTTAGCAGACACAATGGCAGAGAAATTAGTTCTACTGTAATTACTGTACTTGCCTAGTAACCACCACGCAAATGCCTGGAATCCATCACTTTCCCCCAAGCTGGACTGGTTAGAAGTCTAGGAAAAAAGAAAACATACTAGGTACAAAGGCCAGAACTACAAAGACACCAAGGTATGAGGAAAATATTTATGCTATTTATTTCCCACTATTCTTTCAGAGATTTGAATCCTCACATTACATAATTTACTTCATTATTTAGTTCCTGGTAGCTGGCACCCATGACAAGTCATAAATATAAATAATTTGTGAGCTGATTCTTACCACCTGCTTGGCTGACATGAACGTGCAAATAAATATCCCCACAGACACCAAGGCAATGGAGGTATATTTGAATACACTGTACCTGCAAAAATAAGAACAAAAACAGGTGCACATTTCCAGTGCTATGTACAGTCAGGGTGTATGCGGTAGAATCTGGGTGCTGACTGCTCTCCAAACATCTCACCCACATATTGTTTACAGTGGATATTTCCAACAGAGACACACTAGATTCCCACATCCCACTCTCTCAAGAGGCCAATGAAAGCTTGACATCAAATCTAGGTCAAGAGACACCTATGTCACTCAGGAGGCACAAGAGATTATCAGGAAATGATTTGTTTACCCACTCTCTGGGGAAGGGTATTTTGGTCTTACATCTCTGAATAACTTTAGTGTTAATTTTAAATGCTGGTACAGTTAGAAGAATATTCAATTTCTAGAACTGTGGGCAATAATAAGTTGCATTTCATATGAACTAAAATAGTATCATTAATAATCCTTTTAGATTCTTGTTGACTGAATACAAGGCTGTAGCAAAACTTTTAAAAAAATTAAAACTCATAACATGAGCCATGTGAGTTTCTTTTCTTTTGCTAAGATTTACATATTTAAAAGGCAGAGAGCGAGCGAGAGCGAACGTACAATTCCATCAACTGACTGCCCAAATGGCCATAATAACCCAGGCAGGGCCAGGCTGAAATCTCCATCCAGGTCTTCCACATGGGTGGCAGGTGTCCAATCACTTAGATCATCATTTGCACCTTCCCAGGCTCATGAGCAGGGAGTTGGATGGGGAGTGGAGCACCTACAACCTGAACTAGTAGTAATGCGGGATGCTGGTGTTACAGACAGCAGATTAACATGCTGTACCACAACAAAGGTGCCACATTTCAGAGCACTAAAAATGTGACAAGTAAGACTGAGGAACCAAACCCATAATTTTATTTATTTTTAAAGTTATCTAAATTTAAATTAGCCACATATGCTAGTGGTCGCCATACTGCTTAGAAGTTCTATGTTAACTGGTTTGGCAGGTTAGTATGGTACTAAAGATGCATTTAATCATGACAAGAACTGATTAGTTTACACAGAGAGGGCACTATTCCAAAGCCTCTTACCTGGTCAAGTGCCTTGGAAAACTGCATCACAAGTATTAGTGTTAGAGAAAGAACTAAGGGGACAAACTCATCACCACTGTGAGGAAAGGAATCCGGGTGACTGGTCTATGGATGGATGGTGGCGTAGGATATTATTTTCATGTGTAGAAAATAAGTGTACTGTTTACCTTTTCTTCAGAATGATAATCCCTAGAATCATGTTGGCAATCAGAGAACCCTGTGAAAGACAGACAGCAGAGTTCGTCGCTGCAGCCCCACAGTGCAAGGGCCAACATGCCGATGTTCGTCGTGAACACCAACGTGCCCTGCGCCTCCGTGCCAGACAGGCTCCTGTCCGAGCTCACCCAGCAGCTGGCACAGGCCACGGGCAAGCCGGCGCAGTACATCGCAGTGCACCCCGGACCAGCTCATGGCGTTCGGCGGCTCCAGCGAGCCTTGCACGCTCTGCAGCCTGCACAGCATCGGCAAAATAGGCGGCGCGCAGAACCGCACCTATAGCAAGCTGCTTTGCGGCCTGCTGGCCGAGCGCCTGCGGATCAGCCCAGACAGGATCTACATCAACTACTACGACATGAGCGCGGCCAACGTGGGCTGGAACGGCTCTACCTTCGCCTGAGGGCCACCCTAGCTTTGCCGCTGCCCTGCACCTTCATCAGCAGTGTTCCCTGCCCACTCTCCGCCCCCGCTCCCAAATCGGGAGAAATAAAACGGTTCAGAGACCAAAAAAAAAAAAAAAAAACAAACAAAAAAAACAAAAACAGACAGACAGCAGTAACCAAGCTTTAGTGCAGAGGGGAGAGAAAATTCCAGAGGGTTATGAACACGGACCAATCAAATTGCACAGAATGTAGTGCCAAGAGAAATCATTAATAATGTTCAGTCATTTTCTACTGTGGTGAAAACTGCAACCCCTGAACATCTGTCATGTACAATGATAACAAATGATTGAAGTGGGTTATTACTTCTCAATGACTGGTTACAGCTGACACTACAACTAGCAGAAATAACTGATACATGGACTTATTTCTGTCAAAGTTCCCAGATGTTATAGTTACAAGAACTTTTAATGAGTGTCTCCCCACCTCCAATTAATGGAAAAAGTCACATTGGGATGTCCTCCTTCCCTGGAAGGGTGTCAATCAACCACCAAGTGATTACTAAAGTCTGCTATGTGTTCAGTGTTTGGAAGGTCACCTGCACTCTAAGTTTTGGGAATGTCCCATCAGAAATAGCACATTCAATCTCATCAAAGTCTCAGACTACACAGAAATGTCATTCTAATTATCACCCATCGTGCATTGTTTCATAATCTAACTGTGTCCCCTGAAGTCCTGCTTCCTCTCAGGGAACATTCTGGACACATCTCCATGCTGCAGGTAAAGAAGAAACCCTCAGTGCTCTGAGAGAAATTTAGCACCATCAAGAATCTCCTTTTATTACCTCAAGTTTCTGCTTTAAAAACACTGTGTGAGAAGCATTTGTGTCATGCACAAGAAGCAAATGTAATTTTATGGAAAAAAGAAACAAGAAGTGATAAGAAGCAAGTTAAATCACATTAGTTAACAACTATGAATATAAAATCCACAGATGAAAGAAACTGAAATAAAATCTGTCTCAGAGAAATTTTCATTGCCTTTTTATTAATAGCCCTTAAGCTCAGACAAATCGAAGTAAACCATCCACTTGCATACTCTTTTTTTGCCTGCCTTGTTACAGGACAGTCATTTTTGTTCACACACTTCCACATCGGTTCTTGTTCCTGAGACTTCACTTCCTACAAGACCTATCTCCTTTGGCCACTTGCTCATTCCTCCCACCCGCTTAATGGCATTTGTCAGAGCAGCATGAACTTACCGATCTAAACACCATGTGCAGGGGCATGGCAATGTTGAGATTCAGGGCGTAATTGTTGACCACACTGACGGTGAAGAACATGGTCACCATTACGGCATAATATCTGAAACGCAGAAAGCAGTACATCACACAGAAGCCAGCAGTTCAAGAAAACCCAGGAAGGGAAGGATGCAACTAATTTTAACAATACTAACCTTATTTTTGCTGTATTAAAAGGCTGTATCACTATTATCACAAAGTCAAATACAAAGGGCACAGAAAAATACCTCACAAAGCCAGCTAACGTGGGAAAAGTCTGAATTGTCAAAGATTTTAAAAGAAATCCAACTGTAATATTTTTCAAGGATACATAGCAGCTCAGAGCTAAGCTCTAAAGAACCTGCAGGGTCCGGTGGTATGGCCTAGCAGCTAGGGTCCTCGCCTTGAACGCGCCGGGATCCCATATGGGCGCCAGTTCCAATCCCGGCAGCTCCACTTCCCATCCAGCTCCGTTTGTGCCCTGGGAAAGCAGTTGAGTACGGCCGAAGGCCCTGGGACCCTGCACCCATGAGGGAGACCCAGAAGAGGTTCCCAGTTCCTGGTTCCCGGTTCCCAGCTTCGGATTGGCACAGCACTGTCCGTTTGCGCTCACTTGGGGAGTGAATCATCGGACAGATCTTCCTGTCTCTCCTCCTCTCTGCATATCTGACTTTGTAATAAAAATAAATAAATCTTAAAAAAAAAAAGAACCTGCAAATGGTAAGTGCCTTTAGGTATTTCCTATTTACACATATTTATGCTATTTACTTTTATTGTTTCTAAAGAAAAGATATGCTAAGTTTATGTTACTTTAGGAAGACTAGACAACAGGCATTGCAACAAAGGCTACACCTGCAGAGTCTGGGACGTCTGAGGAACTTGCCAATGAGTGCAGCCCATAGCATTACACACATACAACATTTCAGGCTTACTAAACTCCATCTACAGCTTCCTCACAGCTTCCAAATAACATTCTGATGGGGAGCTGACAGGGTTTCCTGGCAAATTTTCCCAGGCGTCTTGAGGAGATGCCATTTGGAGATAAAGGGAGTGTATCAAGGTCTTTAGGATAATTACTTCAACTATTCCATGTTGCTATCTATGTAGTATTACCTGGACACTACTCATGGAAACACACGATATGAAAGAGATTTTGATCAAGGTTTCATATACATAGAATAAAATAGCCATCCCAGATAGGACACACAGGAGAGGTATGGCAGTTAGGGCAGGATCATGGACAAGCTCAAACAAAAAACTGGGTAGTTAGGTTTTCATCGCCAACAACCTGGTTACCAACAAGAGGAGGGCGACATAACCCAAGGTGGAAATAAAAGTGGGAGGAATGAAAGAGGAGCAGGCAGCTCAGGTATGGCCAAAAAAAATGACAGAGAATTTGCTTCTGACCTGAGTAAGTGGTTGGGGCATGGGAAGAAGTGGAGACAGAGGCAGGTGGGAAAGCCCAGTGCTGGGGCTTCCACTGTGACAGGACACTAACCTTTAGGAACAGCAAGTTTTAGGCAGCTACTAAAACCAATGAAAAACTAACAAAAGAGTACTTAGAACATACGAGATTACATTGGAGAATGTAAAAGCACAGTATTAGTAACAAGATGTAGCTTGACCTTCCAAAGCAGGCTGTTAAGAAATGCAGCAGAAGGACATGGATCTAGTCACACCCGAATGTTACTCTCGGGGGTTTAGCTGCCACTTGGGACAACTCTGTCACATATCCTAGTGCCTGAGATCAGGTGCTAGCTGCCTACTTCTGATTCAGCTTCCTGCTATGTGCCTGGGAAGAAACAAATGATGGCCCAAACACTTTTATCTCTAGTCTCTCCCAACAAAAATGCTGACTTCTCAATGTACTGCTCATTAGAAGCACTCCCCTATTTCATAATTGGCCACATGGACTAGTTACCTGTTTGGCAGATCTGAACTCATAGGAACAAGTCTGGTGTCAATAATTTTGATTTGGCTTGCCTGTCATTTTCTTTTCAGCTGAAATTCACATTTATAAAGTGACAGTATATAAACAAGATTATGTAGCACTAATTTGTCATTCCCAGAGCACATAATAACATTACCAATTCAGAGGAAAGCATATAGAAATACTAAAAAGTTGTGGTCACACCAGACTGTCTTGTCTTATCCTATTCATTCTCCTCATTTTGAGGGTATTATAGTCTGTGGAAAGTGGAATTAAAAGATACATTTGTCTTCACAGGACAGAAAAGGAAAAGAGAGGGAAAAAATGCACACTATGAAAACATTGACAAAGATCTTGTAAAAGAATATCCCTTGGTTAAAACCCAAAAAGTAAGAGACTGCAATACGCTGTACCTTAGTGGGATAGCTGGTGACTTCCTTCCCAAATCAGCTTCAAAGAGGAAACCTTCTACAGCAATAAATAAAAACTGTGCAAACGTCACAATGTTCCCGCATCCTGGATGCTTCCTGCATAGTGATTAACAAGACATGAGGCATGAAAGCTGAGATGAACGGCACTGGTGTCACTTCCACGTACGGTTCCAGGGAAACAGGAACAGGAACTTCTCCTGCAGCACTCCCAGTCTGTGGATCTCACAGGTGCACCACTGCATCTTAGGAGAGGATGTCAAATTTTCCTCCATCACTTCTTATAGCTGTGGCAGAGTCCTCTGACATAATCCTTGCTCCTCAAACACAATAAAGCTTTCTCAATGAGCTGAAGGAAACTGGCTATTTATTCCTAATGGGAATCTCACTAAACTAGCCCTGTGAGTTCTCATCAACCTAGAAGCACAGCCCATGGACACAGATGCTCACGTCTTCTAGTGTGTTTCTAATTCCTTCTGAACAGGCATCACTGAACACTCCCAGAGCAAGAAATGTACCCACTGTTGACGACATGGCCATGAGTTCCGACAGGTCCCCTCAAAGGGGCAAAAACTGGTTCTTGAGATGGGAAGAAAATCTTAATCTTATGTGTAAATATAAAACACAAATAAACAGGCCCAGCATGACCTGTGTATTTTAGCCTATGGCTAAAATCCTCACGTTGCAAATGTCAGGATCCCATATGGCTGCCTGTTTGTGTCCTGGTTGCTCTACTTCCCTGCCAGTTCCCTGCTTGTGGCTTGGCAACGCAGTGGAGGATGGCCTAAACCCTGCGTCCTCTCTGTAAATATCTTTCCAATACCGTAAATAAATCTTTTTTGAAAAAATACAAACACAAATTTCTTTGCATAAACCAGTGAGCATTATACCTGTGGAGGGGTGCAAGGAAAAGGGTCTAAGGGGAGCTCTGTGTACAGTGGGTTAAGCCACTGCTTGCAATGTCTACATCCCATTTTGAGTGCCGCCTGTTTCCAATCCTGTTTCCTGATCATGTGCCCTCTGCCAGGAAGCACATGATAACTGAAGCAACTGGGCCCAGGCCCACAAAGAATTCCTAGATTCTGGCTTGGGCCTGGGCCAGCCCTGGTTGTTATAGCCATTTGAAGAGTAAACAAGTGGATATGGGATCTCTCTCTCTCTGCTTTTCATATAAATGAACTTAAGCAACAAAAACAACATGAGAAAACATGGCCACAAAGGAGGCAATCATGGAAGAGCACGGAGAAACAGCCTGTACTTCCCTAACCTCCACAGCTGCTACCTCAAGGTTCCTTACACATTAGGAATTCTTACAATCCTTGCACCCAACTCACTGTCTTCAGTCATCTATGTAATGGCTGGGGAAATCTCACAGGGACTGTTAGGAACAAATAAATAAAGTAAAAAAAAAAAAAATCTCTTCCTTTATGGGATACTTGGAGAAACCAGATCCCCAAAGTATGTAAGCTTTCATTATTTTTTTTAACAATTATTTTACTTTTTACTTGAAGTGTAGATTTAAAGAGAGAAATCTTCCACCCAATGGTTCACTCCCCAAATGGCCACAATGGCCAGGTTTGGGCCAGTCTGAACCCAGGAGTCTGGAGCTCCCTCTTTCTCTCAAATGGGTGCAGGGGCCAGGGGGTCAGTCATCTTAGAGCTTTCTCAGGCACATCAGTAGGAACTGGAAGTGCAGCAGCCCCTGTGGGATGCTAGCACCATAGACACTGGTCCTGGAGGATTTTCTTCAGCTTGTGCCTCACTCTGATCTGCCTGCTCTGTCATTGCAAGGGATGCGGGGGGGGGGAGGGGGGGGGGAAGAAGAGAAAGACAGAGGCGGGGGAGACAGAGGGAGAGAGACAGGGAGAAAGAGAGAGGGGGGCGGGGAGAGAAAGAGACAGACAGACACAGTAAGCGAGCAGTGATTGTCACTCTCCCAAAACTTCCAGATTCCCTGTATCATCCTTCCAGCCTTCAGCATTTATATTTTTTTCTTGACTTGAGACATTTGTTTACCTGAGGCTCATAAAGAGGATTTAGCTACATCACTACACACTAGCACTATGTTATTTATAAAAATCAACACCTTTATCTATTGATAGTACTGATATCAAGCAGCAACACTAAGAAAAACAAATTCCTAAATACACGTTTTGGGCAAAAAGCAGACAACTGCTGCACAGCTAGGCTTTCCGCTGAGGCTGCCTAGGAAGGCCTTCCTGAAACCCACCACTCTAGATGCAACTGAACAATTTATCTTTGGATCCTTATGTTCAAAAGGCACAGGCTAAACTCTGCAAGAACCCATACAAGATATTTGTTTCATTCAAGGAGCTAACCAAAGACACTAGCTTAACTATGAACAATAGGAGAAGGAATTCGAGGTCTAGATGGTTCCTCACACAATGTTTTCAACCATGACCTGGAGGCTCGTTAAAAACTCCTAACTGGGGCCTGGCGCAGTGGCCTAGTGGCTAAAGTCCTCGCTTAGAATGCACCAGGATCTCATATGGGCATCGGTTCTAATTCCGGCAGCTTTGCTTCCCATCCAGCTCCCTACCTGTGGCCTGGAAAAGCAGCTGAAGTTGGCCCAATGCCTTGGGACTCTGCACCCTTGTGGGAGCCCTGGAAGAAGCACTTGACTCCACGCTTTGGATCGGCACAGCACTGGCTGTTGCAGTTGCTTGGGGAGTGAATCATCGGATGGAAGATCTTCCTCACTGTCTCTCCTCCTCTCTCTATATCTGACTTTCCAATAAAAATAAAATAAGTCTTAAAAAAAAATCCTAGTCCTAAGGAGACTCATTCTCTCAGCTCTGATTAGTCTGGGCTGGGGCCCTGGAATCTTAAAGAGTTCCCCCAGCTGACTATAATGTGCAGCCTTGTAGGGAACCACCAACTGAGATTTGGGCATGGGGCTGGAAATACATGTGTACATGTGGTGTGTGATCCAGGGCTGAGGATCCCTGTGCTCCCCAGCGGCTGCAGGGACACACTGACCTGCAGGACCAGTTTGGAGCTGGTGGTAGGTACAGCTGGTAAAACTTCCACTTGTAATGCCAGCATCCTACATGCGCACCACTTCAAGTCGAGTCTGCTGCTCTACTTCCAATCCTGCTCCCTGTTAATGTACTTGGGAAAGCAGCAGAAGATAGTTCAAGGACTTGGGCCCCTACACCCACCTGTGAGCCTGGGAAGAAGCTCTTGGCTTTGGACCAGCCCACCTGCAAACATTACAGGCAGCTGGGGAGTGAAAAAGCAGACAGAATACCCCTGTCTATCTTTCCCTTTCTTGATTCCAAATAAATAAATCTTTTTTAAAAATCTAGAGCTGTTATTTATGATGTAGCAGTGGAGGTTCACCAATTCATTTAAGTGTTTTTTTAAAAATTGGAATTAGTAGTTATCTCAATGATATATTAACCATTAAGGCAGTTCTGGAAAGCACTTAATGCATGCCTCGCACAGCCTGGAAAAAGCAAAGTGCACCATCAAATGACTAGTACTTGGGGCCTTGCCATAACTAAAGGTCTTCAGTGTCAGCAAAACCACCTTGCAAAGACACTCATTCAGGCTGACCATTGTTTCCTCATCTGCAAAAGTGGTTGTACTGAGGGTTCAATGGGGAAGTACACATGAAAAGCCAGGTGCCAGACTTAGCAAAGTCTCTTTGTTTTCCCTGCCGTTTTCTCTTTACCAGTCCTGCAGCCAAAATGAAAGAACAATGTCTGAGAATACAATGAGTGGCATTGGGGGACATTTGTAGGGTGCTCCCAACAGGAATGAGCTCTCCCCCTACCATCCAGGAAATGCCAACATGGGGCATGAGCAAGAAAGAGCCCAGCAGCGTGGCAGGGATCGCTGCAGGACAGATGCGTCCTGTCTGCCTGGATGTCCCACTCTTAGGCGCAGTGTCTGGCTTCCACTGGATAAATGTAGGATGCCTAACTTGAAGCAAAGTTGATGCAGAATATTAGCATTTATACACAAGATAAAAGCTTGTTCATTTCCAAAAGATGACTAACCTACTGGTATATTCTCTGCAAGACTTTTAAAAAGAAGCCTCAATACATTTATGCTTTATCTTTATTTTATGGAGGCAGGTTTTATTATGCCTGTATTTATGGCTGAAGACACTGAAGGCCATATGGCTCTCAGCCATGTCAGTCTCCTGAGGCCTCATGACAAACAAACAGTGTCGCACACACCCTTATCATTACTTTGTAATTCAGCCGTCACCATTACATAATTTAAAATACCCCCTAAAGAAATCCCAGGTCCCTAGGAGTCAGTCTTCCTTACTCAATACTCCCCAGAACATCTGACAACCCCCCTTGCTTTTACCTCTTCCACAGGATTTTAAAATCTCCTTTATGTGTTCACATAATTGTTTTTTTAAATCAACCTACAGGGAATTTTAGGAACACACACTGTTGATAGTTTTACTTATTTTCACGTAAGTAATTCATCTTAGAACTTCAGAGTAAAAGCTTAGACTTTTTTCCCTAAATTTCTTAATATAACATTCACTTTGAACTTTATTTCTCAGGAGCTAATCACTGACTAAAAATAATTCCCCTTACTCTCAATTCTGTTGGACAAGAACGTGATTTTTTTTTAATCCCCTTCACACCAACTTTGACAAGACTGAGTTGGGCAGCCAGTTTATGACTTTTCTTCTTCTAGAGAGAGAATCTGACTGGCACTTGACTGCAAGATGAAATGGGAAAAAGAAAACGCCTCAGATGGTTTTCCTGCTGTCAGACGCGGGATGCTGCACCTGCTTAGCTACGTGTCAAGGCTGAGCAGGAGCTCTCCAAGGGGAGGATTACGTGTTCTATCCAGACTGGGAACTTGCTCAAGTCTGCATGGTGTTTTGCATGTTTCCAACGGTTCCCATTATATGCATAAAAAGTCAGGCAGGAAAAAACTCAGTTTCTTTCCCAAGTTGAGGAAATGGGAAAAATAATCTTTTTTACTACAAATCAGTCACTTGAGCTGATATATTTTGTGCATGACTTGTCATTGATGTAGGCACCTGTTGGTTCTCAGGAAGATGGATAAAAGCACAGTTGCTGCTGTAAACATTTATGAGCTTTCCACCTGTGATGTCCCCTATTAAAAGTCAAAACTCCAAGGCCAGATGTATAAGGAGTCTTCACAGTCACCTGGTCTAACCAGTTCTCACAGGACTGATTCCTGACAGAGGCTGGAACTTGTCCTTGCAACTCTGGAAAGTGCTGCTGGCAAACCACTGATTATATTAATAAATGAACCACCTCACTGTTTTATGGCAACCCATTATTGTATGGAAAAGTGCAGATTTACCAAATAAGGCAAGATGATGTATTCAAAGTGCTCTTAATCAAAGCTCCTGTAATGCAAAGAAACTTCCGTAAAATCATATTTATCCTGACTTTGCAGGATCAGCTCCTAAAGTAAGATTTAGCTATCTTAACACAATGTATGAAAGGCCAACTGCCCCTTGGCTGCTCTAAGCAGCACGCATGAATGTATCTCATTGAACCCTTCAAAACTATCAAAGAACCAGCTAAGATCAAGTAATTTCACCAACAGCTTATCTAGAAAAGGGAATTTCTGCTGGCAGCACGTCCTACTGTCAGCCAGTCTTTGGCAAGATTTAATGTAATGGCATATTCATAACAGAGAAATTACACTATTATTCTCTGCCTTCGCTTCCACAGCTGGCCTGCTTGTGTCATTATTATATCTTAAAAATTAATTTCCAAATGGCTTTCCTGCCGCTTTGTGGGCAGGACACTTCATTCTTGTGCAAGGCGATCGTTATGACTGTCAGTGGACACCAGGTGCGATGCAGCATGGACACTGTTTAGGCAGGGACAAGGAAGTCCTGCGAGGCTGGGTGACTTGAAAGTCCCACACCGCCCAGCTCAGACGGCCACTCCTCCCTCGGAGCTTTCCAGTGCCGCCTGCAGCAGCCTGGGGTCTCGGTGGGGCGGCCTCCTCACCGGCCTTTGCACATCCTTATTCCACACTGCTGGCCGGCCTCAACGAAGTCAATCTAGTTTCCCTTTTGGAGGGCAAGAGTCATGAAGCTGTACCTCAAAATGTATGCTCCCCAAATTAGACTTACTACATCTTAAAGTCAGAAACGCTCCCTCAGGGTACCTATACACACTACCAAGTGTTCCTCATCTTTGAGGGGTGCGTCAGAGCCACCACTCATCACCATCGCTAAGGACAGTGTAAAAATACAGTGTTGTGTAGGGCACTGTAATAGAAACGATGCTTTCTGGGCGGCGCGTCCCCATCGTCAGGCTGCGATGGGGAGGCCCCTGGGTTCGGCCAGCTCCCGCCCGCGGAGTCGCGAGCCCGAAGAGCTCAGCCTTCAGCGCCCGGGTGCAGCGGGAACCGCTGGCGACAGCAACTCCGAGGGTCGCTTCCGGGACGCCACACCGCCCGCCCCCAGCCCGGGAGGGGGCTCCTCTGCTCCGGCCCGGGTCGGGTCGGGTCACTCACCGGGCTAAGAGTTCAAGGAAGACTACGTTGCTGCAGCAGCCGGCAAACACCAGAACCACGGCCAAAGCCGGGTGCATGGCCGGTGAGCGGACAGGGGGGCGAGCGCGCCCAAGAGGCGCCGCCTAATCCTCTGCCTTGGGAAGCCGGCCTGAGGTCCCTGCCGCGGCACGGAACATCGGCCACGCTCCTGAACGCCGCTCTCCCTGGGGGCCGCCACGACACTAGCGACCGGGCAGCCGTAGTTCGCAGTCAGCTCGGCCCCATTCATCCCAGGGGGCGTCTCGGGCCAAGCTGGACTACATGTCCCAGGATGCCGCGCGCTCACGTCGGCCCATGACGTGTCCTCGTTGCTCGGCAGCGCCGCGGCCTCCGGGCGGGCGAGGCGCCAGAGTGCATCACGCGGCCGGCGGCCGAGGGGCCTTGTGGGAAGTGAGGTCCGACTTGGTGTTCGCGCGAGAGCGCTCGCCCCCGTGATCGCCTGTGGAGAGGGGCGACCGCGGCCTTCCCGGGCTGAGTCCCCTGCGCTTGAGAGCGGTCGACGCAGGAGCTGCGAGGTGGGCCGGAATCGGAGTGCTCGGCGTCTCGGAGCCCGGCCTGTGGTGCTGTTTCCGCTGCCTGGCCGTTCGAAGCGTGTAAACGCCGCCCTGGCAGGTTTGTAATGACTGGTGCACGTGCCTGGCTGGAGTGTGGCGGCCTGGAGCTTAGCCGGCTGCGGACTCTCCACCCAAAGCCAGCTTGTCCCTCTTATGGTCTCAGGTTTTAGAATAAACCAGAATGAGGGTCATTGTTAAAGATGCGCTGATTTCCGTTCGCAAGCATTCCGGTAGAGTTCGTCCAGCTAGGGACCCTCAAGCCCCAGATGTTTGTGGTCTCCAGACCCCGGATCCGGGTGGTGTTAGATTCGCCAACCACCAGGGAAAGTGTAACTCAGCCTAATGTATGAAAAGAATTTAGATGGCCTTTCTTTCAGGCAACCACGGTCACAGGCTTCAAAAAGACACACGAACGAGAGAGATACAGAGGAAGAAGAGCGCCAAAGAGACGTGCTGGGCCGTTTAAACCCCTTGCCTCGGAAGCCGAAAGGGAGGTCACCTCAGCCCCTATCTGGTGGTAGAGGGGAGATATGGGTTTGTGCCCCTCGTTGGTGCCACTGAAGTACCTCTCTGGGCCCAATTTATTTTATTATTGAAAAGGCAGATTTACAGAGAAGGAGAGGCAGAGAAAGATCTTTCCACTGGTCCACTCCCCAGGTGGCTGCAAGGGCTGGAGCTGAGCCAATCAGAAGCCAGGAGCTTCTGGGTCTTGCACGCAGGTAAGGGTGCAGGGTCCCAAGGCCTTGGGCGATCCTCTGCTGCGTTCCCAGGCCACAAGCAGGGAGCTGGATGGGAAGTGGAGCAGCCAGGACATGAACTGGCGCCCATATGGGATCAGCCAGTACAAGGCAAGGAATTTAACCTCTTAGCCATATCCCGGGGCCCAGCAATAAACATTTTACTATCTATAATCCCTTAGAGGGCTTTATTTCTGTTGATAACATTATTTGCCACCTCTTTCTAAGGACAAAAATGTGAAAAAATTTTAGGCTTCCTCTCCTTCCTGCCACACATTGCTTGTTCTGTATGTCCTGTCAGTTCTACCTCAGCAACCTCTTGATTGATTGCTGACTACCCTTCCATTTCCCATTGATATCCATTTTCCTTTAAGAGCCTCCCAACATCCTGGTATCTCCAACATCTGCCTTCTTTGGCCCATTCAGACAAGCCCCCAAATGTGCATGCCTCATTGCTATTCCAAGATGTCTGGTTATATATAATAAATGTAGTACAAATACAGTAATGTAAGGCAAACAAGATGAAAACTCCAAGCTCCCGTTTTTCTGTCTCCCAGCCCTATGAGTTGAGCAGGCTCTGTACAGCCGTGTTCTGGGCTCTGTCATGCCACTGCCTGGAGCCATCTGAAGGCTGCATTCGTACCCATGTTGTCTCCTGTGATCTCTTGTGCTGGGCTTCCTCGGGTATGAGACTCAGGATAGCTTGCCTGCTTAGGTAGTGGCTGGCTTCCCCTAGAACACTCATTCTCACACAAGGCAAAAAGGAGCAATGGCCTGTGGAGTGCTGCAGTAGCACAGGCAGCACAACGGTCCAACCCAGCCTCACTGGGGAGAAGGTTAAGAAAGGCATCTGCTGCTGGAAGGTGCAGCTGTGGACATCAGCTGGCCCCTTGTATACAATCTGTACTCAGCAGAAGACTAGAGACACATTGCAATCAATCAAGCCTCAGTTTCCCTCATTTTACCACCTGCCATTCTCCCCAGAACTAGCTGCACTCTGGACATGTTAGCACCATTCTCTGAATTGATGGGGAGTTTGAGGGTTCCTGCCTGTGAGCATGCTGTTCTAACTGCTTGGAGTACCCTTTCATCTTGAGTCAGCTTCTTTCAGCCTTTGATAGCTGTGACTCCACTGTGGAGAAGGGGAGCTGTGTTCAGAGGTGACCTTCCTGTGTACAACTGAAGTGTTCCAGTCCTAACTGCCTTCTCTATCCACCCAGCACTCTGTCCACGAACCTGTTAACCGTGTTAACACTACAGTTGTCTGCTTCCATGTGGATCTCGCACAACTTATCTGTCTATGTTGTCCACGTCATCCCTGGTGACGTATGTAATATGTGCTTTTATTTCATATTAGATGTGTGAATAAATGAGTAAGTGTGACTTAGTCAAATAACTCATAGCTTATATGATAATAATATTTTTAGTCTAATTTAAAAGTATAAACACAATGGGTGGCACTGTGGTCCATGGGGCTAAGCTGTTGCCTGTAATTCTGGCATCTAAGTTCGTGCTGGTTGGAGTCCAGGCTGCTTCTCTTACAATCTAGTCCGACTAACAACCTGGGAAAAGCAGCAAAAGATGGCCTGAACACCTGAGTCCCTGCAACCTTGGGGGAGACCCGGATGAAGCTCCTGGCTTTCACTTGGGCCTTCATGTGCTGTTGTAGCCATTTAGGAAGTGAACCAGTGGATGGAAGAGCTCTTTCTCTCTCAGTAACTCTGCCTTTTAAGCAAATAAATAAATCTTTAAAAATGTAAATGTGCCAAATGTACCACTCAGTGAATTTGCATACACAGTGACATAAAATCAACACTAAGGTTGGGAAGCAGAGCATGACTAGCATTCTAGAAGCACTTTGTGCTGCCTTCTGTTGCTGACCCCTCTAAGTGTAGCTAGGATTCTGAATTTCCAGCACCAGACATTAGTTTTTCACATTTTTGGACTTTGCGCAAAAGGAGTCTATATAATGTATTTTCTTTTATATCTTTTTATTCAGCATTCTGTCAATTTTTTTAAAAAGATTTACTTATTTTATTGAAGGATTTACAGAGAGAAGGAGAGACAGAGAAAAAGACCTTCCATCCCCTGGTTCACTCTCCAGGTAGCCACAACAGCCAGAGCTGAGCCGATCTGAAGCCAGGAGCTAGGAGCTTCTGGATCTCCCACATGGGTGCAGAGTCCCAAGGCTTTGGGCTGTCTTCTACTGCTTTCCCAGGCCCCAAGCAGGGAGCTGGAAGAGAAGTGGAGCAGCTGGGATACGAACTGGCATCAATATGGGATCCTGGTGCTTGTAAGGTAGACTTTAGCCACTATAGGCTGTTGTGCCGGGCCCCATTCTGTCAGTTTATCTGCATTCTTGGATGTATTTGTAATCCATTTATTCTTATTGCTCTATAGCATTCTCTTATGACTATTTAACAGTTTGTTTATTCTGCTAGTGGTGGACATTGTGGCTTTTATGAATGGTGTGTGGAGCCACTACTGTAACATAGTAGGCTAAGCCTCTACTTGCATACCATGTGAGTGCTGATTCATGCTTGGAAAGCAGCAGAAGATGGCTCAAGTGCTTGGAACCCTGCGCCACGTGGAAGACTAAGAAGCCCCTGTTTCCTGGCTTTGGATCAACTTAGTTCCAGCTGTTGTGGCCATTTAGGAAGTGAACCAGCAGATGGAAAACGCTTTCTCTCTTTGCCTCTCCTCTCTGTAACTCTACCTTTCAAATAAAAGTAAATTAAATTTAATTAATGAGTAAAATTTTAAAACAGAATCTGTATATGGGAGAACACAGTAAAATATAGTTGACTTCAATTCTGGTCAAGAGCCAGTCAGAGGATAGAAATCATGTAGCAGTTTGAATAGAGAAAATTTAATATAATAAAATATAATATAAAGGAAGATTAATATAGCTCACATCAGAGGATTAACTGCAAGAAATGGTTAAGAGAACCCCTACGGTGTAAGCAGTGTTAAGCTGAAGTCTGCTGTGTTAGTATCCCATTTAAGCACAGATTTGAGTCATGACTGCTCCTCTTCAGTCCAACTCTCACTTTCCACTTCTTGGTGCTGAGTTGCCATTTGTGTAATTGTATCATTGAGCTGAGATGACAAATCTTACACAAGGAAAAGTGATTGTCATATAAGCTTTAAGGGAAAAAAAGATCTCCAGGAGTGGAATGGTTTTGGTCTTTCACCTGTGGCAATCCTCCAGGTTCGTTGCTGTATCTCCGCCTCCTTGGCTTGTACACAGGCCCTTATCCCACCCCCATCCCATCACCTATAGGACTTTACCAGTAGAGGGCTGAAATGACAGATAGGATCAAACTCTATGTGAGATGTTTTTTTCCTATTCACACATAACAATGCTGAAATTTAATTTCTCAATTAGGCATAGTGGATGATTAACAATAAGTAAAATAACCTAGAATAATTACAATGATATACTGCAATAAAATTGCCAAGTAAAATTAGGGTCCTTGGAATACGAACATTAAGACCTGGATGGTCAATGTAGGTGGCTGGCTCATCAGTGACATGGATGATCTGGACAAAAGGAGTGTTCTTGTCCCTAGGGATGCAGTGGGACATCAGGAGTTTCCTATGTGGGTGGCAAGGGCCCAAGCACTTGGGCCATTATCTGCTGCCTTCCCAAGCACATTATTAGGGAGCTGGATGGGAATGAGAGCAGTCCTGTTTGGGAACTCTAATGGGAGCTCTGATGTGGCGTGTCAGCACCAGCAGTATTGATTTGACCTGGCTGTAATGCCAGCACCAATTTAGAACTGAAATTTGGTGTTCCCAAGAGAATTTTTTGAGTGGAAATCCTGATGTCATTCCTTGCTTTGTTAGCTACATGACACGGATCTTTTGTCTAGCCAGCATCGTGGTTTTGGACATTCCCTACTGCAATGTGCAGATTCTC